CAAATGCATAATTTGACGCGATTGACGTTTCAATGAAAATTACATTTTCCATTTTATCTTTTTAAGTGGATACTTTTTTCTGCACTCAGTTTAACAGAATTATGCATAATAAAGTTTTCCTTTGCTGGAACATAAATATTAAAAACTTTTAACAAATGCAAAGTGATTATGTTCTCATCCAATATTCAATATGTGGATGCTACTTTTTCTATGACCGTTCAAAACTACCAGTCTATTGTACAAATCAAAACAATTTTAGTACTGTGCATCATTTAAACTGTAAAAAAACGTCCAGTTATAAGCTTGTTTGAAGCCAATAATTAGTTTATCACTAACAGAAATATTAAAGTAAATTATATTTACAATACACTTTACGAGTCTCCGTGCGATTTGGAGCAGTTCCATAGGCGACACGGCGCCAAATATATTGGCAGTGTTTACTCTCGCAACTGCCACAATCTAAATCAAAAACATATGTGTTTGGCTTTCATAGCGTTTGACGTAGCAAATAATGATATTAAAGTTGCCAATCAAAACGGCGCGATGCTGGCATTAAAAGAAAAAGAAATTGTTTCTCCGTTTCATAAAAGTTTATCCTGAAATGATCAACATACTTGGAAAGATGATTGTTGATCTGTAATAATTGAATTTATTGACAAAATGTACGATAAACCCCGAAACAATTTGTAACATATTTTTGTACAAAGTTTTATAATTGTAATTTTTCTAGTTGAAAACAATCACTAACTACAGTTATTCGTAAGTTAGTCGGCTATACTACTACACTATTTTGAGTTTTTTATTGAATCTTGAAATGACGAGATTTGTTAGTTTGAGAATTTATTATCGAAAAGCTCGATCAAGATATGAAATTGAAATTAATTGTTGCATCGAACATGTTAGGAGATAAAAAGAGGATCATTAAAAAAAAACTGGAAAGCGTAGAAGCTTATTAAGCGTAAGCTCGACTTTCAAGATTGACAGCAGAATGAGAATATAGCCAACGGGCAATGGTTAGCATGGCCGCGGCACATTTTCAGTCTATATAGATGACGACGCGGAGGGTTCATCGTAATATCAGTCTGGCTGCGCGCAGCCATCGGTTTTGCATGCGGCTAAATACCCACTTCGGCAATTCGCCGGGCGGAGAATTAAAATGAACCCTATGGGTTTCGCAGCTCGTCCCGCGGGACTTGCTCCGCTCTCTCAAAGTGTTGAATCATGTGGGACGAGATACACAGGCGCGCGCTCGCGTTATATCTGCGGTAGAGATGTAATTGTTTTTACGCAAACACATGCCGTGTGTTTGCGATGATTAATGGCCGATGCTTTTAAGGCTAGATGAAAATTATACACTCATGTGAATTGGTTTTACTCTTTCCGCGCATCGGCGAAGATTCTTCTTTTTTTTCCGTTCCCGTGTGCTCGCAGACGGAGGCAAGTGACGCGGGCGCGTCGTCAACCTTCAACGTTTAATTGAAAAACTTTCCTGTTTTCGACCTCGCGCGCGAGCGCAAAATTTTTCAGCTTAATTGTAAAACTTTATTTCCGCGAGCGACTTTGATATTATTTTGAGCGAGCGCGACAGATTAAATTTTAGATTGGCTGATAAAAATACTCGCGAGCACAGTGTCCGCGGCGAGAAGGCAGAAGAGCGCGCGGCCCGGTTCAGCGGCCAGTGTAAAAAGAAAAATCGATTTTCGATAGGTAAGGAAACGCCATACTCGCCTATATATCTCCGGGTAGCTGATCTCGAATTCAGAAGTGGCCGTCTCTACCGCCCCGAGCCGCTGCTCCGCACGAGCGGACTTTATAAGCTCTTGCGCCTGATTATTTCGAAAGGGCCTCGGGAAAAAATGTCTTATTTTCATCGTCTCTTGCGATAACGGTCCGCCATGGAAAAAGGAAAAAGTACGATAAGAAAAGTGTCGGCTTTCTTCTCTGTCTCTCTTGCCTTTTATTACGAGGGCATAAGTGAGTTTGGCTGAGAACTTGGCATTCTTACCGCGGCGCTGCGCGCATCAATCAATTTTCCATCGGCACTCGTGCGCAGTGCCGTCAGACGAGTGAAGAGCTATCACTGACAATAGGATTTTTACATATATATATCTAAGCTAACTTTCGAATTTGGAATAAATCTGAATGAGGTTATGTGTCTTTCTGCAGCTGTCACTCTCCTTTTTATTCCTGTTTTCACGATTTACGCGTCTGTCACATCCACACGTCAAATACTGTAATAGTAATTTTTTTTCAACGCATTCAATCAAATATTTAATTTAGAATTTTGGTCCTAAAAGACGAAAATGAATAATCTCATTGACATTTTATCAATGCCAAATTTATTCACGAAGCTGACTTGGATGTCGCAAAGGCGATCTCGCGCATACAGCTTCCTTATTTCACGAACGACAGAGAATCGCAAACGGAATTAGAAAAGTCGGATTCAACGGCCGCATGAGTAATGCGAATAACGAACACGACGATATGCAAGGACGACGATATAACGTTCTCCTTATTTATTGCGCTCGCGGTCCCCTTGTAAAAATGTACGTAAGTCGAGCGACCTCGGAGATCCTCCGCGCGCGCGCGCGGCGAGTGCCTGCCTGCGCGTGTGAAACCGATACGCTCGCGCGAGATTTCCTTCGCGCGCGGCATAATTTTCAATTCAGGAAAAAGAAATCAAGAATAGCAGCTTGTTTTTCAATTGTCTATGCGTAACCTCACGTTTATGACCATTCTCGCTTAATTTCAACGGCTTCTGAAAAAAAACAAAGAGCTATTCGTATCTGCCTTTGTTTTTTCTTCTTCTCAAGTGCCACTTTTTTACTTGATTTAACGGAGCTTAGATGTATAATTGGTAGCTTACAAGTATTCTCTGCTACACTGTAATGAATTTAAAGATTTTACTTGGACTTTCAAAGCTAACGAGGATATTGGCTGATTAATATAAGAGAGCATGCTGTATGAGTCTAATTTTCATAACTAATTACACGTTTACAGATTAGTAGTGCCAAATAAATGTATAGATATGATTATGTAAATAGAATTTCACCGTATGATAAAAAAAAAGAAAGAATGTTGTCGAATACTTTATATAACTTGATAACGTGCATTTCAATGTTTTAACAAAACTTTTCCAGTAAATCAGAAATAACAGAATACAGCCAATATATTTTTATTCTGTTGGAAATAATATAGAAACTCCATATATTTCTATATCTGATTTTTCTGGGAAAAGTTAAATTAATTTTACATTCTCAATTACTATCAATAGACAGTAATCTAAATACATGCAGTTATGCGAATTCATTAGAAATCAAGTGTTATCTATTAACATGACCATATGAAACACAGGTAGAACGCGTTTTCAGTATCAACTTGATTGAATTAACAGAGCCCGTGGGACTGCCGCCGTGATTTATTATTATCCATCAATTGCAATCGCTAAACCGGGCGATGGTAAAATTTAGCCAGGTGTGTGCTTTTGAGAACTACGTGGATAACCTCCCCTTGAAGAATTGATACTCGGCGCAGGCTGTACGAGCTCTCTTTTTAGCGTACATGCTAGTCCTGTTATGGCGATAGTCCCGTTTATAAAGAAAGGTTTAGCATATACGAACGCCCGCGAAATTAGCTCTACTGTCCGTCGGCGAGAACGTAACGAAAGCAAAGAGGCCGCGAGGGCGGGCAGGAGCGTCGCATTGCACGATCCTCTGAAAAATGGCCTTAGAAAAGCAGAGAGCGAGAGAGAGAGAGAGAGAGAGGACGGCTGGGCCGGCGGTCGACCTTCATAAATCAGCGCGAGGGGCAGGCCAGGCGAGGCCTGCAAGCCCGGCGGCGAAGGGCGCGCGCGCGCGCGCGGCTCGCAGTCGCGGCAAGGTCGAGATCGAAAGCGAAGAAGCGTCCATCCCGGTGGGGCTGCGCGCGCCGTTCGGCGGGCGTGGGTGGAGCTTGCAAGCCTTGCCCGCCGCCGCGCGAGGGCTGCCGTGCCAATACATAAGCCGCCTGGCGCGCTGCCTCGGCAGTCGTCGAGCGAGTGCGGCCCCGTGCGCCCGCAGGCACCGCGCACGACGTTCCGCGCCAGTGCGCAAGCCGAAGATCGAGCTTTCGTTACGCTCGCCGCGCGCCGAGTGGACGGGCGCGCCACCGGCGCACCGACTGGGTATCGACCAACCATCCACGCGACGAGCGCGCGCGCGCGATCGCCGTCGGGACCACTTCCGCCATCGTTGTTCCTCGTCGCTTGCCCCGCCGAGCTTGCGCTATCCTACTGTGTCGCTGCTTCTCTTATGTGTGCCTCTGCGCGTATATCTATATGCGCGCACGCATTGCTGTGCGCGCTGCGATTCCAATGCTGCACTGCAACGTTTTGTCCAGTAGCTCCGGCTACCTGCAGCGCGAGTTTTACGCGTCTTTCATTCCTTTATTTTAGCCGGCTACACGTTGCGCACCTAATATTCCGTAAACGTTGAGGATTTTCGCTAACGTTGCAAATACCTCGATCGAACTGCTGACGCGCAATTATCCAAATTATTAATGGGATGGCATTGGTAAAATATGACTTTCACTTCAAATGCTGCACCATTTTAATTCCCCCGTTTTTATATTCGAATGAACGTTATAATCTCATATTTTCTACACTTTTTGTCCGCTTTTCGTTGTTGATGGAAACAAATATTTCTTGGCTCTTGTAGTTGTTTTTTTATTCATGTGCGGTATAAGCAGAATGCGTTCCGTTGTTATCTTTATTCAAAAACCTTTATACAAATGCAAACGTACTTGGAAATTCAACAGTTTCCGAGCCGTGTACATTTATATCAAAAAAATTTCAAACGTTCCGTCGGCTCGTGTGTAAGCCTAATTAAAAATTAAATTCTCCGTAAATCAGAATCAGATGAATCAGTGTTTTTAGAATTAATATATTATATAGGAAAAATATCGATGACGATATTCATTGAAAATACCAAGAGGATGTTTAATTTTCTAAAGTTAGTTTCGGTTATCGTAAAATGTATCGAGGTATTCCAGAAAATCCAACGCTCTAAAATAAAGTCAAAGTTTTAATTTTTTCCAACTCAACTTTGACAATTAAGCGCAATAACCTTGCAATCTGAACCATGAGTTCATTGAAATGATACTTAAGAAAGCTTTCCGGTGTCAAATATTAACACGATTCAATTTAGAATTACGAACTTGTGAATGCTGCGATAAAACTTTAGTCAACAATAACGAGAAGTCGCCAACCAACATGTTAAATGCAGGCATCGCATCGAGTCGACAAATTTTGGAATATCTTATAATCAGCCAGCTCGCGAAAGGAAAGACATTTGAATGAAGCATCTTGACGTTGCATATATTGCGATAGCTTCAACATTGGCACAGCTCCGCGTATTTACCAATTATATACGCAAAACACAGAAGCGGAACGTCTCAATGAGATTTTAGGACGATGTATTGGTTGGCAGCTTCGATCGATGATATATCTTAAGAACGAGCGGAGTGGGAATACCGGTGTGATGGCGGGAGAAAGAGCCAATCTCTTGGAGCGAAGGTCTCGGTTTACGCGTGCAGATCGCGACGCGCACCGGTATCGGCAACATATACGTACAATTCGAAACTCACGAGACTTTCTCGTACGCGCGTTCTCTCTCTCTCTCTCTCGAAAATCCGCAGTGGGATTTGGGGACTCGGCCAGTGGCATTGGGTTTCTAATTTTGTATTTCGTCGCTTTGCAGATCGAATGTAAGTGAAGCGTGCGCGATATATAACAGTCACTTGAAGTGTGCGTGTGCAGCGTGTAGAACGACAACGGCTGCAGGACTCAAGCAACGACAGCAGTAGCTACAACAATCATCGAGAAAAAACGAGAGGAGGAAACATGATGCTTACCAGAAACATTCTGCTTATCGGCCTGCTCGTATGCATTCCTGCGATACTGCATCTCGGTAAGTTCTATTGTAATAATACTTTAGCGTACACCGGACAAACATCGTAACTCATAAACGAGCGATGGAAAGAAGTTTCATACTTGAAAACCGGTCAATCATAATGCTGGGGAAATAGCGGATCCCCAGCAGTCCAACTAACTTGTATGCTAATCTCTACCGTGATAATATATAGTGCGCGAATTTAATTTTAATCGCAAGAGAAATTCTTCTTCCCATCGCCGGGACCAAATATGTATTTGCATATGGACACCTTTATTTTCGCGAAAGGCAAGTCATCCGGTCTTCAAATTGAACCGTAACAACAAGTTAAAATTGAACGACGTTGATGCGCAGTTCCCACCAGCTGTAGTTTGTTATCAGTAAACAAACTTATGGAATCTGAGACGTGATTTGCGAAATGTGAAAGCGCGAACGACTTTCACTCGTGCGTGGCCATACAGTCGAAAAACGAGAGATGTTAAAGCGATGGTTTATTTTCAAAGCGTGGTTCACGAAGACGATGCGTAACGTGTAACGAGGACAAGTTGTTGAACGACGAAAGTTAAACGTGAAAATAGCTGCAAAAGCCTGGAATCAGGACGAACAGCGGGTTACCTAACGCGTGCAAATCTTGTTGATTGTAAAGCGCACGCTCACACTATAACACAAATGCATGCTAGTTAATAAGAGCAGGACGAAGAAAGCCGATCGGGAACGAGGACTAAAAAGAGTCGACGCCCCGAAGGTGTTTGCTCTTATATAGCCTACACGTGAGACGGAACGAAGCTGAGCGTTCGTTTCCTCGACTAATTGAGCCGCAAGAAGATTGACGCAAACATCCAGTAATGCCAGATATAGAGGGCGCAAACACACACGGGCGCGCTCGCGCAGGCTGGGGCCAAGATCGCGTTAGAAGCAGCCACGAGCGACACGCAATCGCGCCGTGCGCGCCGTTGAGAAGGACGCGCAAGGATGTTGCCCAACTGTCGGCGCAGCTAGGAGTGCGAGGCAGATCCAGTCGCGGGCAAAGCGAAGCGACTCGCGCGCGTGTTTTTAATGTCGCGTGTACACATCGCGGAGCGCGCGCGAGTTGCGCAACGCTCGCGCACGGCAGAGAGGACTTTCACTTGGCAGCGAGCGCCGGCCGGTGTGTCTGTGTGCGTGCACTGCAAGTCAGAAATGCTTGACCGACAAACAAAGAGAAAACGTAGCCGCTGCCTCGCTGTGAATTGGCGTTTCGTCATAATTTGCGGGGCTTGTGAACTTGTTCGCGTCCGCGACCTATTGGCTTCGGCCGTTCGTTACGATTGTGTCGCACGCGCGTCTCCCCCTGTGCTACTATACGTCGCGTGCGCCACGTTCTATCGATGACTTTTCACCTCCCCGTTCGCAAGATGGTGATTTTTTCTATCAATTATCATTGTAAATGGTCAGACGCCAATGAACCTATTAAGCCATAACAGCGATCCATGCCGCTTCGGCAACCGCCAGTTTGCGCTTTCGGAACGTCCGTGCTTAAACTGTCTTTTCTTTTCCACCTTAGAAACGTGTCGAACGAGTTAAAAATACAACTCTCGCAAAGAGGTAAAATTACAAAGGCGGTTTTTCCGACATAAGCAACCTTATCGACTTTCGGTTCTAAACATCGCTTTCTCCATTTTGCACATTTATGTGTTTGCGTTAAACAATAGGCTGCAGCTCTTTCGAAAGTGCGTGACCTATTTGGAAACGCTATTTCATTAGTAGGAAATAATTTTTCAAAACTGAAGCGTTTACATAATTTCCTCGTGGATTCAAGATTCATTTCGAATCATAATATTATCGCTTCAATCTCGGAGCTATGTAAGACAGACAAACCTCCATTAAAAATTAATTTCAACATGGAATGAATCTAAATAATTCGGTCCAACAAATAATATATGTTATGTATATGAATTTTACCAATGAAAACATATTGGAGTACTCAGCAATAAACCTCATAAAAATGTACCTGCCAAATCATTTTCCGAACGAACGATCGCAAGTAAATAAAACAAAGACAATACATGCTTTCTATAAATATCGCAAACTACACAAAAGAAAAAAAATAAACTTCTGATTACAAACGATTATTGACGGCCGATTGAACCTGTGCGCCGATGAAAGCTTTCGAATTGCACGCAGACAGGCAAACGGACATCGAGTGGGCGATGCCGACGTGATGAATGATCGATCGATCAAGTGAGAGAGAGAGAGAGAGCAAGCGTCTGCGGGTTCACATTCAGCCTATCGGAAGCGAAATCTGAGATCGCACTCCATTAGCGCATACGCACATAGACGTCGAGAGAACAACCTCGATATATATCGCGTATAAATTTTAGCCTCGATGCATTTGCTTTGTCTCGGATGTGGGTGGTATGCGCGTGCAGCGACGAGTTATTCGATGACCACTTGTCCGATCGCGTTTTTCATACCTCCAGACGCGAACAAGCACTTTTTGCCGGCCGTCGACTGTACAACAGGCCGTTGGAAGTAATCCAAACTGAATTCGAGGATGCAAACCATTGTGCGTCAACCAGCTTGCGCACGAGTCTGCAAAAAACAACACATCAACAATCGACAATTCATTTGTAGCTGTTCCCGAGCATTGCCGGCCGCAGCATCAGCATCCACAAATCGAGCGAACCCACATAAATGTACGATCGATGCATTAAGGACGAGCGAGCAATGGATGGAGTAGGGTATATAGTGCGCTCACTGCTGAATATTGTTTTCGGCGCTTACGCACAAATTGCTGGCGTTTAGCGGCTTACGTGGATTATTTCGAGAGCGTAGGCGCACGCGAGCAAGAGAAAAGGGAGCGGCTGAAGGATAGCACTCGCGTAAGCAAGCGTTTGCCGTACTGCGGATCTTTTTTATTTGGCAGCTACGCGCAGCTGTAATCGCAGATTTTCGCGAGATCCCAATGCGATTATCAAGGAATCGCTATTACTGCGTTCTTCAAGATGTACGCAGTCCTCATTTTATTAGTAAGTATTCCCAAAGAAAAAGAATAAATCGCGTTAGTTCTATTGCCTTTATTGGACACACCCACACGGCAGTGCAGGCGCGAAAAACGTCGTCAACGTCATTTCCATTTTGGAGTACGACTGCTGAAAGAGCAAACATCATACCTGGAAGAATGCGGGAAAAGATTCGTCGCGCGAGACTAATGAGCGAACTTTCATTCGTGCTCTCTTCCTGAGCTGTTATTTATTTATTATTTTTTTTTTTGTCGTCGACGTCGTCGTCGTGCTCCATCAGTCCACCACTACCATCTTGCGTGAGAGCTTGCGCCTGGAACAAAATGAGAAAAAAAAGAGCGAGATACGCCTTCGGCATCGAAACAACGACCCCCCGTTCTTTCTTCTTTTTCACGCTACTGTTTTTCCCAGTTATGCCTCGTTAAAAAATACGCTGTGTGATTTCTGCCTAAATCACCTAGGATTTCTTGTTATTGCGCATCATTGATTGCTCGTCAAAGATAAATAAAGCCAACTTTGTTGGCTCGTTTATTAAGTGAACTCCTTTATGCGACGGTGAACGGACTATCGATGCACATTTCTTTTTCTACGTTTTCTTTTCTATTGGACTATATCGTGCACAAAGAATCCGAGTTAGATCCATAGTATTTTCGTATAAGTACACAAGCCGCTAGGATGTTCGGGAGAGAGAACAGAGAGCGAAGCTGACTGGTCTGAGTATTTTCATCAACTCGTAGCCCAAGGGGATTACTTCCGGAGGGCACGGGGATTCCCCTGTACGAGCAAAGCCCACTCGAAGTTCGCGTAGCAGTATAGTCAGAACTCGCTTAACTCGCTCGCGGCCCTACAAAAGCTTACATATAGCGTCGAAGGATTTTAACGTTACCGAAATATTTCTGGCAGCAACTCTTTTATTTTTTCTCGTCGAAATTGGAAACTTGTCATAAACGATGCTGATATATATGTTTTGCGTTAATGGAAAATAACGTGACCGATACATTCGTCGAAATCCAAGACATTTGCACACAACGAATCCATCACACCGACTGAGCAAGCTTTTTTCTTCAAGCTTATGTTTACTACGCATATCCAGCATCGTCAAGGCAGTCGCAGCCGGCATCTAATAAAATCAGCTTTTTGTTGAGCAATTAAGCCTGCTAATGCACGTACACAGCCTCCATCCACTTTTGCCTACTTTTCGACAATAATACAGCGAAAAATTCGTGCGCACGTCCGTCTGTGCGATCGACCAGATAGCCTTGATGAAATTTCGCGCCAACAATCGTTGCGTCACCATTGCGCCTCCGGTCCTTTATTCTCATTTTTCTAATCTGATGTTGCTAAGTGGTGCTCATGACCTTGGCCAGATACGTGTATCCTTCATAATAAGTATACGCAGGTCAATTTTGCCGTTCTGGTTATTCGAATATGAATAATTACGTTTTGTTGAATAATTTTGCGCCGTGGAAGTGTTTTTACAACAGATATTTGTGTAGGAGAAAGGTAAGATAATAACTGATTTTTCAAGGACTTGTATAATTAATCAATGAAGACATATATACGTCAAACCAAAGAAACCCCTATTATATGACCTCTTAGCACATACTCGTCAATCTCCTTTTTTGCCTGTAGATATGCCGACATAACGACGATAATAACAATTCTATGATTATTTGGAATTTCACGAAAATCAAAATAGCCAATGTAAATCTGAATTCATATTCCAATTGTACAAGTGAAAATATGTCGAAATCCGTTATTTCACTTATTTTTGCTTGAAATGTTAACCTTTAAAAATAAAGCAAGATGTGTACTGCAATGTATTTGGATCCGTAGAATTTTAATTTGCAGTCAGTTTAACGTTATTTTCTATTTTTTAAACAAAATCCATAAAATTATGGTAAGTTTCCTTTCTTTCTTTGATAAATTACTGTTTTACTATGGCACGACGCATATCTTCAGTAATAGGCCCGATCAATTTTTAATTTCACATCCAATAAAATGATCAAGTGAAAG